GGGCTGTCCAACATCTTTTGCCGCTGGGAACAATAATTGCTGTACTGTACTCTTTTGGCATTGAAACATCATAGTTGGGCTGCCCAACGACTTCACTTATAATATATCCATCTGAACAACTTTATAAAGACACACATTCGTTTGAAGTTTTGGTGGGTCAGTGCCCTGCAAAATTCGCTGGTGATATTCTGATTTCTGCTTGTTGCAATTCCAATTTTGGCCGGCAAAATCCAAAATTCGATTGACAATTTTGGTTGACCGGTCTTTTTGGTTTCTAAATGCCCAATATTTAGCAGCTGAAGCGCGCTAGGAATGAACCCATTAAGCTGAAATGCTCATGTTCACTACAGTTTGACCCATCATTGATTGGTTTCTTCACGAATTTAAGTATAGTAGTATTGTATAGTATAATTTCGTATAGTAATCCCATGTATAGTCACATGTATGTACAATCCCATGTAAACCCATAGGAATGGTTCTATAGATACTGTGACGTTTCAGCAACGTTCTCAGTGAAATTACTATCCCGAGGCCTCTTGTCCGGAGGGAACCAGTTGCACACGTACCTGGCTGCAGCAGAGTTTCTGCTGGGTTTCTGCTAATCTGGCGGTGATTTGATGATGGGAAAATATGGGAAATGTTGTGTTCCCCAGATCTCTTCGTTTTTCTTGGCATTCACAAAATTTGTGGATTGATCTTCCACAAAAAACCTTTTGAACATATTGCCATCAATGGGATTTTTTTTGAACATCAAGGGGAATGGTTCATCTTTTTTCAAATGTTGGCATGGTGCTTCGCTGCTAGCGATTTGAACGCAAAATGTCAATCCCACTTGGACGATACGGATCCCAGATGGACTGCCAGGTCGAACCACTCAATCCACCGACAAACAAAGGATTTCACTGCAACCATGCACCAAATCCTCTGAAGCTTTACCATTTGTTGTTGTTGTCTCTTAGAATTTCAGGGGATTCCTGATGGCACTGTCAATCCCTCACATGGACGTTCAGCTGGTGAAGAAAACCGAGCGAAATCCCCATGGTTGTTGCTCCCCATGGATTTTCGAATTCCAACGAGTTCTGGGTCTGATCTTCCCAGCAAAAGCAACTGCCACTGCTGATACAGTATCCTTTCAAATGATGTTCCCAAAGCGTGAATCCAGGCGTACTGAATCTGATGATATCTGATCCTCCATATTTTCTCGGTGAAATCGCTATGCCATATGCCTGGTGGTTGTCGGTGGAAAAATATTTAAGATAATGTGGAGAGCCAACAATGTCATAAAACCATCCCCCAGTCATCACCATTTTTATAGGTGGTGTAGTATAGGTGGTGTAGTATAAACCATTCCCAGGAAAATGGGTGGTTTATGATGTTTTATGGCATTGTTTTATCCACATGAAAAATCCTTTCCCAAACATCCCAGCTGCATAGATTTTTTGGCCAAAACCCCCTATGGAACCCATGGAATCACAACAGTTCCCTGCGACATTTCCACAAGCAAGGCCAAAAATGAATGGATCCGATACAAGACACAACTTGAAATCCCAACCTTCAATAGGTGAATCCCATGTTGGCTTGATAAGATTCCCATTTTCATGGCCATATTCCAGGGGGATTTCCAATTTTTCAGACCACACCTGCTGCATCTTCTCAGAAGGTTTGGATGGCCTTAAGATTCTGCTGGGATTTGGCCAGAGATTCAGCCCATCTCATTGTCATCCAAATCTACCAAGCAAGTCTAGATCACCTAAAATACTGGTTACCCTCCAGTAAATGAACATAGCTATGGAAGGACAAATGATTTACCTCTGAAAAGTGGTGATGTTCCACAGCTACGGCAGCTACAGCAGCTACGGCAGGTCACCAGACAAAAACGGGTGGGACATCTCTGGGCGAAACCTGGGAAAGCCCAGGCCCTGGCGAAGTGCACCCAACACTTGGCCGAAACATGGAGATATTTCGGCCGAAATGGACATTTCACATGATTCAAGCAGGAAAATCAAACGACCAAAGGTTGCCTCTTGAAATATTTGGCCAAATGATCTCCAGATATTTCGACTCCAGAGCATGGTTGTTTAGACTGAACCTTGCTATTGAGGCGATGGAGATTTGTCGCTCTTGATGGGTACAGTGGCTACAGGTTTCATCGTTGTTTCCTACAAGAAATTGCATGATTTTGGAGGAACATCCGTGTCCGTTTTTTTTTACGCATGATCCAGTCATTTTGAAGCATACTATGAAAATCTATGAAACCTTTTCGTGAAAATTGTGTGAAAACCATCGTTTGGGTTTCTTCCAGTGGGATTTCCCTTGTGGATCTGTCAAGTCCCCTTGTCTTTTATTGCACAGATCCTACATGTACGACCGGAAATACCCCAATCATCAACTCATATTTGTTCATTTACGAAACTGCAACGTGTGTTTGTTGCCTGAAACCACATTTATGTTGCTTACAACACAGTTTTGCTTATGAGTTCAGCATCCCAAGACCTTTTCTCGTTGCTAGTTGTGTTTCCTATTTAAAAAAAAGAAAATCCCTGTATACCAAATAAAAGCCATTCTACCATTGGGTTAATTTTGGAATATAACTATGGTCCTATGGTAGGTAAAATCAGTCATGTGTGGGTTTCCCAAAATTAGGGTACCTGGGGTCCGCCCGTTCCAGGAAACCGAAAATCCCATGCAAGTTGCTGCATCTGCACCAAAGCCCTAGCCCTGGCAGGTGGAGAACTTTGGTGATGGAAAGGTTAACATAGGTAAACCAACCCTATATAACTAATTTCCTCCCCCTACTTGGTGAACTACCAAGGAATCGTAAGTGGGTTAAGTTTAGTCCAGTTCTAACCTGAGGTTATAACTTATGCCCAGCCCTTTAGCCCCCATGAACCGATCCAGGGTGCAAAAAATTAAATTCTTAGCTGGTTGGTAGACGGTGGACACAGTGATGATGCAACCTCATGCTATCTGCAGCTGATGGAGATCCTTCTCATGACCGCCATTTGTAGATTTTGCCCAGTTCTGTACATCTTTTCAGGTATGATTTTTCCATCCACGGTTTTGTTCCTTCACCACAACCACTGAAAGACCTTTTCTTTCAGCAGCGGGTTCACAACATTATGACCTTCACATTAGGTTTTGAAGTTTAATTGCTTGGAAAATGTGTTTACGAGCGTAGCATCAAGAGCGTGTTACAAGTTGCTTGAACCAGCTAAGAGTGTAGCATCAAGAGCATGCTACAAGTTACATGAACAATTTAAATGCATAGCATCACGAGCGTGTTCTGTTTCAGGTTACTTGAACAAGTTAAGTGTAGCATCAGAAGCGTAGAAGCAAGAACGTTATTGCCCCCCCACCCCACCCCAACGCACAGTCCCCAGTCCACGGCAGTAGCAACTACCCATCCAGTTGGTTGACCTAGATTTATAGATAATTTGTGATAATTTCCCAAGGAAACCATGGGGATTCAAGATCAAGTTGTCAATTTACTGGTGGCTATAATCAACAAGAATGAAGTATAGTCCGGTATAGTCGGCAAAAAGTATGGTAGTGTGGCTACCACGTATAGATATATATGTATAGCGGATTATAGTGGATGTAAATGAATATTAATATGCTCTGCGATGTGGTGCTTCGTCCCATTGCTCCCATCACCATGTTAAAACATTGCAGGGCCCAGCCTCAGATGCCCTTCTTGTAGTGTATAATCAACTAACACTTGATAGTCTTTGTTAGTCCTCAACAAAGATCATTAAAACATATCAAAACCTAACCCAGCCACTGGAACAAACTCATCTACATTGCCTACATCTGTAACAGGGTTGCGAAAAAACCATGGCCTCCGATCAGGCGGGGCAACGAGACTCCGCCGGAGATGAGTCGGTGGTCGACGCCGTCAGAGAGTGTGGAAAACAAGGACCTCAGAAATCCGGCAGAAATCATCCGTAATTTCTGGCGATGCTTGGAAAATGTTGGATTTCAGCCAGAAATTGGGATCGGTTGCTCAAAAATTCAGGAATTCACCAGCAAAAAAGAAGATTAAGAGATAGATTGAGAGCAGTGCAAAATTGTTGATCCTTCAAGACTTCTGGGAATAAACCCTGCTTGCAGTTATGATCCCATGGATGGTAAACGGTAAGCGCACTGCGATAATGGGAAAGCCGGATCGCCGTGGGAATGGGAGGCTTACACTGTCTCCTTAGATACGTTGAACAGAAAAGTGGGACAATTCCTTCAAATTGAAATTGATGACCATGGGCCCAAAGATACAATATCTGTGGTTTGAACCCATATCTAGGGAATCTAAGGGGGTAAGAATAGATATTTTTTTTCTGAGACCATGGCAATCCAAATAATGATCAACATTTGTAGGAATGGTTCAAAATGATTGACCCCCAAGCATGCGGGTGGTTTCGACCCCCTTCCAAGTATGAGTAGTTGCGTGCTACTGGATTGAAAATAACAAATATGACTAAAACCACCAACCAGTGGGTCTGTTCCAAAACGGTGGCATCCAAAAATCCCACTTATCATCATGACCACATATTTTTTCTTGTGATTTGGGGGTAACCCATTTTGAAACAAACCCATCTGCGGGGTACACCAGGGCTTCAAACTACGATGGGCAGCAAAAGGGCGACAGCCCAGAAGCCGTCGCTGGCCACATCCTGACGTCGTAAACTTCCGGAAAATTTTCGCCGTAAAAGTATGGCGTTTAACCAATACGGGGTTTTCCATGGGTTGTTCCATGGTTTTTCCTGTGTGCGTTTCTTTCCTCAACCAATTCGTGGAATCCAAAAGTGATAGGTGTTTATCAATTTTTTACCACCTATTAGGCACTAGACAACAACAAAATTTCCATCCTTCACCGATTACTTGTTGAATGGGGGTTGCCACTCTGTCAACCAACAGGTCGGGGGAAGGATATTAAATTCGTCACTCTGGGAATGATTCCCCCCTGCTGAAATGAAAGCTGAGAGATCACATCTTGCTCTTGGTCAATGCATCCTGTGCACAAATCGAGAAGTGTACCTTTGGCATCGCTTGTCTCACACCCAGCGGACTCGCCCTTCAGTGGGCTCTGCAGCACATCGATCAGTCCAGAAAAGGGCGTCTATCGGTGGTGCTCCTGCTTGTTTGTCTCCAGGATAAATTCAGATAGCAATCCTTTGCTCCTTGCTTCGCATGGTAGCGGGAGCCTGTCAATTGAGCAGGTTCCTGTAGCGCAATGGCTTCTCAATCTGGACAGGATCGGATAGACTACAAGTATCCCACCTGGGACGGCTCCTGGGATCGTTGGCTACCTAAGGGTGGAATTGCGGGCTGATGGCATGAAACAAGAGGAGCTTCCTTTCCTGGGCCCTAGATTAGCGTCAAACCTCTCTGGCCGTGCCTTTGATGCAATTTCCGACGTTGATAGAAAAAAAATTCCCCAAAGAAGAAGGATGGAAATACCTGTTGCAATTTCTGGCAAAGACCCGAGCCAAGGAAAAGTGGGCGTCCTTGGAGGTGCTTTCAATGAATTCTTCGTCAAAAGAGACATCTACCGCAAAGGTGGTGAAGGATTTGTCGACTACGAGCCGCGCTTCAAGATGTTGATTCGCAAGCTGGAGAAAGCTCTGAAGGAGTCAGGTTCTCAGGGGCAGATCCCTTCAGAACTGTTTGGGTGGTACCTTCTCAACTGTTACATGAGGATGGGGCCTAGCGATGTGGCCAACGTTCAAGGGCGGGCTGAAAGTTACAAACTGGATCATGTGATAGCCGCTTTGCAGAAAATGTGGAGTGGCGGCGGTCTTGCGGCCAAAGATCAAGAGTCCAAGATGAAGAAGAAGAATGTGGCATCTCTTGCTCTGCATGCGGATGAACCTTATCATGATGATGGTGAGGTCTTCCAATGTGCTGAGGAGGAGGAGGAAGAGATGCTGACCCTTGAGCTCTCTGGGGCAGCAACCATGTACCAAGAGGCTTTGGCATGCTTTCTCAATGATCCAGAAGACAAAGATGTTCTGGCAACGTTCGAAGAAGCTCGCAAGGCTTTGGACCAAGCCAAAACAGCGAGGGGCTTCTACCCCACCAGCAATCCCAATGCTCCTAGATACAATTCTGGCATGGGAAAGGGTATGGGACTGCAGGTAGCAGCAATCCTGATGCGAACAAGGATTGCATGCGATGTGGCAAAAGAGGTCATATTGCACGCAATTGCCCACAGAAACCCTCGCAACGAAAAGGGCATGGCAAGAGCAAAGTGTCTTTTGCGCAGGATGCTGAGGGAGGAGAAACCAATTCTGGCTTCATTGGGCATTTCCATAGCCGAGCCGGGAAGCATTTGGCAATCCACGGGCACAACGCCTTTCCATGTGGGCTTTGCAGTCGTAGAGAGTGGCGCCTCCGACAATGTCATTGGTGTGGACACCTTGCAGGATCTGGCCAATCTCTATGAGGAGATGGGTTTCAACATCAGTGATGAGTTTGAAATCAACAGGACGATGCACAAGACTTTCATCTACGGAGGTGATCATAGCAGCCAAGCAATTGGCCTCGCACATCTCACTGTGGGGATCCTCTGCACGGAGATTGTGCTGAATGTTCACATTGTTGATGGAGGAACGCCTCTGCTGCTGAGTGCAAAGTTTTTGTATGATGCCAAAGCCAAGATTGACTTTCGGACAGGTGAGGCCTCTTTCGGAAATATCAGTGACCAAAAAAATGTGCATTCTAGACCGCAGTCCAGGCAAACATCTTTTGCTCTCCATCACTACGTTTGGTGGCCGCGTAGCTCAGGCCAATCTTGTGCCGAGCTCTGTCCAAGAAGAGCATGAGAAAGATGATGCCCTGAAACCAAGTGAGCCGAATGCCAGTGAGACGCCGAAAGAAAGCACTACTGTGCAGAGTGTACAAAGGGCGAGTCACGCGCTTAGGGACAGCTCCACCAAGACTCAAATGGACAGTCTAGGAGTAATCTTAGATTGAAGGTCTTGAGTGGACATACAACTGAAGTTTTTGAATCAACTGTGACCGTCAGTGACAATTCACTTGATGATTTAAATGGTGATCATGACGTTTTTGTGGAGCGCCCTGAAGTTGGAGACTCTAGTCCTGATCTTTCGAAGGATGGGGAAGCGGGCCTTTTTGATCCTCACCATGATGAGATGATTCATGCGGTAGATTCCCTTCGACAACTTACCGGTGTTGGAACTTTGGATTTGTTAGAAGTGTGTGCGCCATGGGATGCCCCTCTCACACAAACTGTCCGGGAATTTGGAGGCAAAGCTATGAGCATTGGGGTTCGCAATCGGTATGATTTGTCTACTCTCAAAGGTTTTCAATCTGCGGCTAAGCTGATTCGCACTTGTAGGCCCAAGTATCTTCATATTAGCCCTCCTTGTGATCCCTGGACTGCCGTTCAGACTTGTAACCAGAGGAATCCTGAGCAAGTGCATCAACTTCAGGAACGACGTCAGGTCACTCAGAAACTACTAAGGAACTTGAGAAGACTTGTGGAAATTCAGGCAGGTACTTGAACTGAACAGACAAGAGGACCTGAAGCCGTTTCATCTCCAACACCATGCAGGTGGGGAACATCCGCAAGGTTATGGTTCGGTTGTGCGGTGGTCGTTTTTCTGTTCATGGTTGCCAACATGGTTTAGACTCAGTAAACATTGGGATGTACTGCTGAAACCTTGGGGTTGGCTTAGTACGCACATGGGAGTGAGGAAAGCTCTGTAAAGAAAATGTGGTCATGGAGCTGGGGCCCACTCATCCATCCATGGGGATCTCACGTCAGCCACCGCGGTCTATCCTCGTTTGCTGTGTCGTGGTTTTGCCAAAGTGTTGTTGGAAGACATCAAAGTTTTGTACGGTCGGTTTTCTCAACAGCATAGACCGTTTCAATTTGATGCAAACTTTGAAAATGCCATTTTGGCAAACGAAGCTATGGATGCCATTCAGGAGGCAGTTCAACCCGAAGCAGCGCCCCAGGATGAGGCTGCACCTCGCGCTGAGGAACCTGATCCCGGTGAAATAAGAGACTTCATGAAGCAAAGAAAAACTCAAAACCATTCATCGAAATCTGGGCCATCCTGGCCAGGAGGCCTTCCTCAGGATGTTGCGAGATGCAGGTGTCACTAAAGCCGTCATGGATGTGGCTCAAACCTTTTCTTGTCCGGAATGTCTCCAAGAGGCAGGAGGACCATCACCCGACCGGCAATTGTCCTCGAAGCATACCAGAAATCGGAATGTTTAAGCATTGATACGTTTTGGTGGCGAACCCCGAAAGAAGCTTTGAAACCTCGGGAAAACCCAAAACACATCATTGGGCTTAGTATGATGGATGAGGCTATGGGTTTTCAAGCGGCGGTTATTATCCGAACGGGGAATGAACCTCTTAGGAATATTTCTGCTGATGAGCCTCACAAGGCTTTATCCCGGGGTTGGTTACAACACTTTCCTGCTCCCTCCATACTTCGCTATGATGAAGAAGGTTTTCTGAGAAGTTGGGATAAGATTGCCTGGTTGGAGACTTTTGGTATGAAGTTGGAACCTATTGCTGCTGAGTGTGCCTGGCAAGGCGGTAAGCATAGCAAACATCTCCAGACCCTCAAAGAACAACTCAACTTGTTGCGTAAGGAAATAGGTTACAGTTTTGGCCTTGAGCAATTGTTGGCTTTGGCCGTGGGCGCCAAGTTAATAACATGCACAATATACATGGTTATTCTCCTAACCACTGGGCTTTTGGGCAAAACCATTCGAGAATTTCTTCTTTCTTGGAAAACACCAACAACTTGCCTCATCAGGCTGCCCGAAACCAGCCTACTTGAGAGGAACAAGTGCAAGCCGAATATAAGGCCGGAAAGCTGTTCTTGCAAGTTGATGCGCAGAAGAGAATCTCCAAGGCACTGCACGCAAAAAGCAGGCCGCTGCGGGAATTTCGCATGGAGGAATTTGAATACTATTTCAGAAAGGGTCCCAAAGAAGGCAGTCGCTATGGTGGTCATTGGTATGGTCCAGCACGCGTCCTCGCGCACGGAAAGACAGGAGATTTTGAAGAGGGTCAACATTTGGGTTCCGTTGTCTGGGTAGCTCACGCAGGGAGAATTATTCGTTGCTCACCTGAACAGCTGCGATTATGTGCTCATGACTTGCGACACCTTGATCGTGAAAGTAACGGTCCTCAGAACTTTCATTCCACGTTGAGAACAAGTGTCACGACAACAGAAGTATTTGATAGTATTTGGATATTTCCAAAGAAGATGTTAGTGACATCCTGCGTGAACCATGTCCTGACTCTGAGAAACATCATTTCCGCGCTTTTGGTAAAGCACCTCTCGGAGCACTTGCAGCGAGCCCCCATCCCTGTTGATCCTAGTGTTGCGCGCAATGGCTCAGACCAAGATATCCCTCAAGGAATGGCCTTGAAGAGTCAGAAGCTGATCCACGATTACTCGCAGACCAGCATCGAAGAGTTGGGCCAGATCAAGTTAGCAGTGGGCCGGAAGTACAAAGGGGTGAGCTTTGCAGAGATCTATCTGGACGACAGCTACAACACATGGGTCCCTGACCATGTGAAAGAGAATCCACGCAGTCCTCAGGGAGTGGAACTCTACGCCCATTACCTACGCCGTCGTCTCGAGATGGAGATCAAGTGGATTTGAGCAAGCCAATCGCAAAAGACCCTCCTCCAAAAGCGTCGAAACTCACCAAAGAGAGCATGGCCGCTTTGAAAACCGGCCACCAGATTCCAGTACCCGGGAGTCCCTTCGAGGACGAGATGGGCAGCTGGTCTCAGATGACCGAAATGGAGGAGAACATGGCACAGATGAAAGATCGGATGCTCACTCTGGAATCCATGGTGGGTCAGGTCCTTCAGTACCTGCTGCAATCCCAGCAAGCAGCACTCGCAGATCCACAAGGAGCAGGCCCCCAAGACCCATGAGCAGCTCTCCTGTGGGTAATGCGCTGTTCTATCAAACAGACACTACACATGTGTCTAGCACAGTGGAACCTTTGCAGGATTTTGTCTCCTACGTAAGCAAATTGGATGCCGTTGAATTTGTGAACTGCGCATAGCACCTCGTGATGTCCACAGAAAAGGTAAAGCTTGGGTTGTCAACTCTAAAGTCAAGAAGAATGCTGAGGTGTGTGTTCGCAAACTCCACCGAGATGAACAAGTTGAATTTGAACAAGCCACGAAAAAGGAGATTGACTCGTTTGTTTCTCAAGATGCGGTTCAAAGTTGTTCTTCTAAGGGGATATCTCGTAGTAGGGTGATGCAAATGAGATGGGTGCATGTTTGGAAACCTTTGCTCAATGATTCTGGGGTTCAAGAAGGTCGAAAGGCAAAGGCAAGGTTAATCATCAAAGGGTTCCAGGATCCTCGTTTAACGTATTTGCCTAGGGAAAGTCCCACTGTGTCTACTTTGGGGAGAAACATGTTGCTCACTCAGTGTGCTCGGCGACAATTCCAATTGAGCTCAGGGGACATATCTACTGCCTTTCTTCAAGGGAATCATTCTGAAATTAGCAAAGATATTTTTGGGGCCCCACCTCCTGAAGTCTATAAGATGTTGAACATGAAAGAGCATGAAATTCTGCGTATCACCAAAGCCATTTATGGACTCCTCAATGCCCCTAAACAGTGGTTCGAGTCTTTGTCTTCTTTTCTTATTGAAGATGGTTGGATCCCCCATGGTTTGGATAAATGTTTATACACATGGGTTGAAGATGGTGTTATTCAGGGTGTTTTGGGAATACACGTGGATGATGTCCTTTGTGGAGGAAAAGGCAAACCTATGAATCAGCCCTCGACCGGCTCCAAAATCGTTTCTCTTTTGGGTCTTGGTCGAATGCCCAAGAAACCACCATCACATATTGCGGTATGGAAATCGCTCAGAAGTCTGATGGTAGCTTGCTTCTTTGCCAGGAACGTTTTGCCTTAGGCAGTGACGAAATTGCTTTGACAAAGGAAAGGAAAGACGACACACTGGCAGAAATAACTACAGAAGAGAAGCGAAGAATGCGACAAACTCTGGGGTCTTTGAGTTGGAGAGCCACGCAGAGTGCGCCATGGTTACTGGCACCGGTTTCCCTCTTGCAAGGGGCTGTTGAATCTGGAAGAGTGTGTGTGATGTTTTAGCCGTGAACAAACTGGCTCGTTTACAAAGAAAATATTTTGATCGTGGTCTTTATTTTCCTTGTTTGAATGGTGATGTTACTGCTGTTACTTTTACTGACGCTTCAAGGGCCACCAGGGTTGACGGTTCTTCACAGGGAGGTCAAATTACGATTTTAGCCCCCAAAGGCATTCTCAACGGTGAAAAGACTCCTTTCTGCATTTTGGATTCGTCAAGCAGAAGGTTAAAAAGGGTTGCGAGATCCAGTACCAGTGTGGAAGCGCAAATGTGTGCCAACGCTTTGGACTTCCATGAGTTCTCTAAACTTGGGTGGGTTGATCTCCAGGAACCAACTAAAGTGGATCTCCGAGTTGCTGATGAATATTTACGTACCTTGTTGATGCCCGAAATACTCCTGAGGGCCTTTCCAGGGTAGAGAATTCAGGGTTGCAAATGGAAGAGAAAAGGACAGCCATCGAGTTGTTGCCTATCAAAGAAAGGCTACACCAAGCAGCTGTTGACCTTAAGTGGGCGGACGGCGAACAAGAACTTGCGGACGGTCTACTGTAACTAAATCTGGTTGTCATGAACCCCTTTGAAAGCTCTCTATCAAGGGTGGTGTAGGATCACTTACGACCCGAATTTCCTGTCTGCTAGAAAGAAAAGGGCTCAGAGATACCAACTTTGTGTTGATGAACGTTGGTTGCACTGTCTATGGTCACTGGGCACAGGAGCAACATAAAATTGTGACCGATGCTGAAATGAAAGCTGAGAGATCACATCTTGCTCTTGGTCAATGCATCCTGTGCACAAATCGAGAAGTGTACCTTTGGCATCGCTTGTCTCAAACCCAGCGGACTCGCCCTTCAGTGGGCTCTGCAGCACATCGATCAGTCCAGAAAAGAGCGTCTATCGGTGGTGCTCCTGCTTGTTTGTCTCCAGGATAAATTCAGATAGCAATCCTTTGCTCCTTGCTTCGCACCCCCAACACCATGTGGAGCCAACACACGATATGTAAGTTGGTTCAACTAACGAAGTTGATTGAGACTTGTTTCATGGATATATAATATATGTACACCTCTTATAGTAGATACATGTACAGTATATATATATATATGGTGGCTGGTAAAAATGTCTTTTGCCAGAAGAAGTTTTTCTCAGGCCTTCAATCTTGAATCCTAAAGCCTGGATTGAAGAGGTTTTTTCTAGGCCTACGGCCTAAGAACCTAAGATTTGCTCAGGACTCTTGGGGGGAATCTTAGGTAAACCCAAGAACCTAAGAACCCAAGATTTGCTCAAGAGTCTTGGGGGAATCTTAGGTTCTTAGGTTTAGCCAGGAATGCATTCTGAATGCATTCTTCCTAAAATGCTATCCTTGAAATTAAGTTCAATCAAACTAAAAACCATTCTTGCTACACCATTACTAAAAAAAAACATATACATATAAAAATATATATGGTACCGGTACCCCCTCTCGAAACTAGTGCCAAACTCCAACCATGTAAATCAGTCGCAAAACCACGTAAATACCAATAAAAGTACAGAAAAGGTAGGTACCGGGGGGTACCATATATGTATATATATATATATATGTACATATGATTGTGTATGCATCGTATATCTTCAAAAAATAGCTGAAACGACACCAACTACTAATCTCCTGAAGCATTCCGCGGAACGCAGGCCGCTCGGCAACTGTGCAGGAGAGCTGTGATTTATTGAACATTCTCATTCCCATGGGACTTCCATTGAAGTTGAATCCTGGAAATTAGATACATTGTATATATATGATATGTGTGTGTTGTTTGTCTTTTGTATCTGTTCTTGTTTATGTGTTATATATTATTCATATATATATATATGACTTGTTGGTGATGTCAAGTTTTGTCTCCATTGAGTTTGCTGAGCAGTTCATGGCCAATCGCCATGCTTTCTTAGTCTATCAGATGTGGGCATGGGTCAAAACTGGGGTAACGACGAACCCACAACATTGATCAGTTTTGGTACAAAACCATCTGTTTCGGAGGGGTTCAGAATTTTGACCCCTACCCTCCATTCAATGAGTATATACACACAAACCGCGCATGATGACTTGTTTCTTCTCGTAGGATCCAGAACAACCAGGTCGTGCCCACGTACTGACCCAAAATGTTCACATCATCTCAGACAAACAAAGTATCATGTATCTATCATTTTTTCCATCTTTGTGCCCCTGCGATCATATTGGCTAGCGCTTGCATTGAGTTGACCCTAGGAGTTGTAACCCCAGGATGCCAATCAAATTGCATGCTGATTGGATATATCCTCGCAATTCTTGTTGCTTTAAGCCTCCAGTTTTGGCAGCCAAATCTTGTTTTGAGCCAGCTTTCGCAGGCAAAGCTCATGGAAGTGGTGCTCTGGGTGCGAATGGTGAGACTTGAAGGAGGTGGGAATCTAGATGAAATAGATCTATAGCAACCCCGGAAAGAGAGAGAAAAGCTGGAAACCTGAGAATATGAGGTAAATATCATCTATAGCATCCTGGAAACATGTTCCTTTTTTTTGCGGGGGTACTATAGCTGAAAACGAATCGTGCTGTTTTGTGCGCAAAGGGCTGCTATCAAGGAGCAATGTGACTTTGCCCGAGGTACCATGAACTGGGACTGGTAGGAAGAACATCCATTCATGTGTCATTCAACGCAAAATCAAACGCAAAGTTTTTGGTTTGCAAACAGAAGGAAATGTTCACCAGGTTCTTGCTCAACCCATTAAAACCCACTTAATGTGAGATTTGCAAAGGTGTTGCGATCTCAGACCGACTGACCAATGGCGGTTCCTGATCGTGACCCAACATGTTGGTACCTGGGCTACATCATCCTTTACGCCTTTACGCACAGATTGCGGTCCGATTGATTCACGTTAGATCCCCAGCGCCTGTTGGTTATCCATTTCAACCCCAGATGTAATTTATCATCCTCACCTTCATCCTCCTCCTCCTCCTCATCATCATCAACAACATCATCATCATCATCACCATCATCATCAATCATCAATCATCAATCATCAATCATCATCATCATCATCAGCATCATCATCATCATCATCATCATCATCTTCTGCCGCATATTTGAGCCTTACCGGGAAAACCCCCTGAACTTCATCAATTGGTAGCAAGTGGGCATTGATCAATCAACCAGGGTCGGTCAAAAAATCCGAAGTTGACATTTCCTCAATCAGGGAGAGCTCAGTTTGAAGTAAATGCTTTGAACATCTTTAAACCGCCTCTGATTTGGAGGTTCCGAAAATGCCCCCAAATCATCCATTTATAGATCGATTTTCCATTCTAAAACATGCACTTTGGGGATCCCCCATTTATGAAATCGTCCCCGTGCCCCACTTGGGTCACCAGCAACTGACCACAGCGTAACCCCGGTTTTTCTTCACGCTGCGTCGCAAAGCTTCGAAGATGGGGCGATTTTAGGCGCTCCTGATGCTGCTAAGGCAATAATAAACCAGCCCCTAAATCAACATAAATGGGTGATCTAAACTATCCCCCAAATGGTAGGTTGTTTATTGGGTTTACCAACATTGGTAAATGTGTGGCTTTCACCCACCGAAAGGTATTGCTGTAGTCAAATGGAAGATTCCTTCCAATTCTTGTTGAAAATAAACCATCTTTGCAACAAAAAAACAGTCAGAAAGTGGAGGAGCTACGCCATGGTTCAAAGACCAGGTCGCCATGTTTGGTCGCTGCGAAATGGCTGGTAGGGCCATAATCGAGTCCCATCCACTACTTGGATATACAAATAACCAATAGATGAAAATGGAGAACAATAGATATGTACGGATGATGTGGGATATCTTCCGTTTCTGACTATAAATCGGGTATCTCCCCATTTTTGCTTGCTTAAAGATGACTTTGTTGAAATGCAACCCCGTTTCACTTGGATGATTTGTTGCAACCTCAGATGCTCCTCCGGCATGGCGAGTGAGGCGCCGATAGTCTTTGGTGGTTCGGTCTTACCGGTTTACATCATAAAACAAAATCTGTTCTGAATGTGGTAAATAGCCGATGATCCACTTACAGTAGAACTGTAAGTGCGATATGTTTCAAGTGTCCCAGGTGGTGATCCAGACTCCATGCCCAGATCCAAGCCCAGATCCTCCGTGAGATCGATTTGCAGAGTTGCCTGACAAAAAATCAAGGTGCAGTGATTTCAACATCAAACAAGTAAACAAACATAAACAAACATTCAAAAATACGAAGTGGACAATCTGAACATGGGCAAAATTTTGGGATTTTCATCCCACTTTCTCCGGTGACATCTCCCCGTGACTCTCCAAAATCGCCAGGGCGACCACCGCACAGAGCTCCGCAAGCTCCGGGTGCATCTCCATCAACTCCCGAGCATGCCTCCACTGGCTGAGTTTCACAAGATGTATCATATGTAAACCATGGGTAACCATGGTGAAATTGATGAAATTCACCAACTTAGCTATCATAAACAAAATATAACAACATACTTGTCGGAGTTAGAGGTTCACCAACTTAGCGATCGTTTCGGGGCACCACTTTGTAGAGATTGAAGCTGCAGAAATGAAGTTTTAACCTGCCAACATGTAGGGTCAACCAAATGACAGTACCCCCCATAAATTGGGGTTTGAAACAGAAAAGATGCATCTCTGACCAGACATCTTTTTTGACCTGCAAAAAATGCATATCTATCCCTCTGCAATGCATCTCCAGGCTGCATCCCCAACCTATACAGATTGGGTTTCCATCAGCACATGATTTGATCAAGGAAAAGATTCAACCACAACTTGCCCGTTTTTTGAGGTCGTCAGATCCCAACAATGACCAGCAAAATTTGCAGATCCAGCTGCATCGTCACTGCTTGAACCCCTATCTTCACTAAACCACGAGGACCATAGTTCCTATACTGAAAGCCCCCTTTGCTCGATAACACTGCCGTCTTCACGAGTCTTGCCCTTGTTGAAGCGATCAAACCACCATGTTTGCTAGTTAAACCTTCATGTTCATTCGTTCACCCTCCATTTTTCAAGTTCTTCCGCTCTTTGAAGTGATAAAACCTCCAAGTTTCACTAGTTCACCGCCTATTCATGGCCAATCTTAGATACCCTGGAAATAAATGACAAACTCTTAGCTGGTGAACGCACATAATCCCATACCATCCAAGACGAAAGGATTATGATTAGTTTCTACCCATCCATTGTTTTTCCACCCGAAACCCAGCATTTTCCCAGGCGAAACCCACCATTTTTCTAGCGCCTTAGCACCTCCAAGGCCCTCCTGCGCCACATCAATGCAGCCTCCGTGGCGACCCCAGGGTCATCCGCGGCGTAGAGCAACGCTTGCGCCAACTGGGGGCTGGGGGCCCAGGTATTCTGATTCTGGGAGTTCCACGATAAGAACAAGTTGGAGATGACAAAAATAGAAGTTGGACATATCACACACAGAACAAGAAAGTTGGAGAATGAAATAGAATGAATCTATATTCAAAAAATGGAATATAACACAATCATCACAATAAGTCATCCCTGTTTTGAGGGGATCCCCATTTTGACGGATGGGGAATCGCCATCAAAACAGTGATTCCAGAAACATCTCTATATATATAATATATAATTATATAAATGGAGGATCATGCCCATCACACAAAAACGTCAGAATTGCAACGTCGTCCAATCATGATGGAACTATGAAGAACTATGTACTTGTAAGTGGATAGGTGTCCTCGAATGGGTCACAGCGACTCCAAATCGATTGAGGGAGAGCAGCCCTTTGGGAATCTGCCGGGGTCACGTTCCACTTCCTTGGCTCTTTAAGGAAGGTAGAACTGACATCCTCCAGTAAGCTGATGATAACATTGACAATGGCGGATGTATATAGTTATGATTCACATGATGTTTTGATGTGAAAAAAACCATGTCATAAACCGTACCCGTGGCTACACAAAATCTGGGCCTCAACGCCTCAACGCCAAAGTCGACCATGAAATGGGGTGGAATTCCTGTACGTCATCCTACAATTGGGAATTCCTGGCATTAATCCCTACACAATAGATTGATAAAGCCATCTGCAATATGGCTGAAAATCATGGGTTTATCTACATCTAATTCATCTAATCCCACTTTTCACCATGGCATATTCAACATTACACTCTATCGCATTCCACCATGTGCGTCACGCATAGATTCGAAGAGTTTCTGAAGGCTCTACTGAGTGGTCCAGGACAAACTGTAACCCTTACAATGGCCAAATTGGCCTTGCGGCAGCGTATCCCAACACGTTGCACTTTTGCAAAAGTTTGATGCAAAATGATGCAAATTTGGACCACATAGCTAATCTGAAAACCAAAAAGTTTACTAGTCATCCATATTTCTCATGTTTCAATCCCCATAGTTTATAGTTTTCATTGTGGTTGGATAAAATCCCCCGTTGTTCAATGGTCAAATCCCAATTTGACATGTTTCAATGGTGACATCCAAGTTTCTAATTTGCCTTACAGGTGCATCAATTTCCAGTTAAATCCGGGCCCGGTATACCATTCATCATCTACCCATTGATCGTTCAATAGGGGTCACCCCTCTATAAACCAATCGGAAGGACATCTTATCTCTATAGTCCCAGTTGGTTTTATATCCCCATTGATGGGTTTTATCATGTTTCATCCCAACTTAAATTATAGTTTTACAGCTTAGTTGTTGGTCAAATGGTTTAGTTATCCCTTCAGTTGAACCATCCCTAAACTGGGAATCCCATCCCTATTCACCAATCGAATGATAGCAGTTGTCAATCGAATTGTACCTACACCAATGGTTACATCCCAGCTGTATGTTACAGCTCAGTTGTTGACAGTTGATATCCAAACAACTAAGTTAAATTTAGGCCACAGTTTATAGTTAGCATGTCCGAATTTTCAATGGTTATATCCTCTCCCCGTGTTTTTTTAAACCCAATTTATAGATGACAGTTGTTGCAAAGCTGATCCCAATGAAATGACTCAGGCCGGGGGAGCTGGGATAGTTGTTGATGAAATCCCACCTCTTGCAGTTTTTGCTCGGAGGATCATCCCACGAATCGTTTTTCTGGCTAGTAACCTGATTTAGTAACTCCCCCATCTGTTGGTTTATCCCACACATGGGTAGACTAAGCGCAGGTACTAACCAGTTACCATGTACTAAAATCAGGAACATATCGCAACATTTCGCAGCTATTGTAAATGGTCAATTTATAGATGTTTGATCTCTTGAACATGGTGATTTTCCGGTATTTTCTAACAGTTTTGTTTAATTTTTCAAGGGAAAACCAATTTAACCTCGGAAACTCAAACGTTGAAAATCCACCGTTTCGTTAGATGAGTTTCCCATTTCAATCCTCCCTCTATAGCTAATTCTCCAGCCAGCCATGGTTGATTACCAGAATCATCCCATGAATCACCCTAAATCATCATTAATCATCATTATTAGTCATTATTTTAACCATTATTAACAAACACCTCACCCAAATTAAAGGACCGGATAACCCCACATGTTACCAACTTCTTTAGACTTAGACTGAGCAGAGAAAGCGAGAAGGGAAGAGGAAGTATGAGAGTGATGGAGGGACGATGGTGGTATGTATGTAGGTATGTATGTAGGTAGGTGAGTTTGTGTGTGTGTGTGGGGAACAAACTGTTGGTGTGCCTGACATATTGAACACCATATTATGTTTAACACACATTCAAAACAACCTCAGGCCAGCACCTCGCAACCCAAGACCTTGGCTCCTAAGGCGCTTGCGTTATGCATTCTGGCGCTTGTGTTGTGTTTCTCTGCTGTTGACCGAACCAGGCTTTGGCTCCTTATCAAACCGATGGTGTGCCTCAGGCCAGCACCTCGCAACCCAAGACCTTGGCTCCTAAGGCGCTTGCGTTATGCATTCTGGCGCTTGTGTTGTGTTTCTCTGCTGTTGGCCGAACCAGGCTTTGGCTCCTTATCAAAATGATGGTGTGCTCACCATACTTTCGCTGACCAAAGTAATGTTCTGCACTCTTTCGAGCGCAGCCGCACATTTTGTGAATTCTTTCTGCATGCCCTGTGGCTGGTAAACATCGCTGGCACATGATGATGATGATGATGATGATGATCATGATCATGATCATGATGATGATGATGATGATGATGTCTCCGACTGACTGCTGCGGAACAAACATCAGTTCACATCGGTTCGTCCAATTTCTTAAAAAAAACTCATCGTCAAAAAACTCATCTTAAAAAGTACCAACATCGCCTGCCACGCAAAAGCGGCGGAGACCAAGGGACACCGGAGGGACGCCAGGGCGTACATCCGACCCCTTGGCAGTGCACATTGTCCCACGCCTGCCACGCAAAAGAGGCGGAGACGGAGGGACACCGGAGGGACGCCAGGGCGTACATCCGACCCCTTGGCAGTGCGCGTTGTCCCACGCCTGCCACGCAAAAGCGGCGGAGACCAAGGGACACCGGAGGGACACCGGAGGGACGCCAGGGCGTACATCCGACCCCTTGGCAGTGCCCATTGTCCCACGCCTGCCACGCAAAAGCGGCGGAGACCAAGGGACACCGGAGGGACGCCAGGGCGTACATCCGACCCCTTGGCAGTGCACGTTGTCCCACGCCTGCCACGCAAAGGAGGCGGAGACCAAGGGACACCGGAGGGACGCCAGGGCGTACATCCGACCCCTTGGCAGTGCACGTTGTCCCACGCCTGCCACGCAAAAGAGGCGGAGACCAAGGGACACCGGAGGGACGCCAGGGCGTACATCCGACCCCTTGGCAGTGCACGTTGTCCCACGCCTGCCACGAAAAAGCGGCGGAGACCAAGGGACACCGGAGGGACGCCAGGGCGTACATCCGACCCCTTGGCAGTGCACGTTGTCCCACGCCTGCCACGCAAAAGCGGCGGAGACCAAGGGACACCGGAGGGACGCCAGGGCGTACATCCGACCCCTTGGCAGTGCACATTGTCCCACGCCTGCCACGCAAAAACGGCGGAGACCAAGGGACACCGGAGGGACGCCAGGGCATACATCCGACCCCTTGGCAGTGCACATTGTCCCACGCCTGCCACGCAAAAGCGGCGGAGACCAAGGGACACCGGAGGGACGCCAGGGCGTACATCCGACCCTTGGCAGTGCACATTGTCCCACGCCTGCCACGCAAAAGCGGCGGAGACCAAGCCAGGGCGTACATCCGACCCCTTGGCAGTGAGTGAGTGAGTGAGTGAGTGTGTGAGTGAGTGAGTGAGTGAGTGAGTGAGTGAGTGAGTGAGTGAGTGTGAGATGAGATGAGATGAAGTGAGTGAGTGTGAGATGAGATGAGATGAGTGAGGAGGTGAGTGAGTGTGAGATGAGATGAGATGAGATGAGATGAGATGAGATGAGATGAGATGAGATGAGATGAGATGAGTGAGTGAGTGAGTGAGTGAGTGAGTGAGTGAGTGAGTGAGTGAGTGAGTGAGTGAGTGAGTGAGTGAGTGAGTGAGTGAGTGAGTGAGTGAGTGAGTGAGTGAGTGAGTGAGTGAGTGAGTGAGTGAGTGTGAGATGAGATGAGGTGAGTGAGTGAGTGTGAGATGAGATGAGATGAGTGAGTGAGTGTGAGATGAGATGAGATGAGTGAGTGAGTGTGAGATGAGATGAGATGAGTGAGTGAGTGTGAGATGAGATGAGATGAGATGAGATGAGATGAGATGAGATGAGATGAGATGAGATGAGATGAGATGAGATGAGATGAGATGAGATGAGGTGAGGTGAGTGAGTGAGTGAGTGAGTGAGTGAGTGAGTGAGTGAGTGAGTGAGTGAGTGAGTGAGTGAGTGAGTGAGGCGGCGGGAGGAGGAGGAAGAGGAGCGGATCCAGAACTAAAAACAAAAACCCCACACGTCAATGTGGGGAATAAATGACCTAGAAACATGATATATATGTTAGTAAAGCAATCATAACCACCCATTATCAACCATTATTAGCCATTATATTAACTATAAAACATGTTCAACCACTATCACCCATTATTAACCACTACCAGCCATTTTCACCCATTACCAACCATTATCACCCATTATTAACCATCATCAACCATTGTTAACCGTTATAACCCATTCAACCACTATCACCCATTATTAACCACTACCAACCATTTTCACCCATTACCAACCATTATCACCCATTATTAACCATTATCAACCATTATCAACCAGTATCAACCCTTATTAACCAATATCAACCATTATTACCTGTATCACCCATTATCAACCGTTATCACCCATTATTAACCAGTATTAGCCATTGTTACCCCTTATCTTCCATTATTAACCGTTATTACCCATCATTAACCAGTATTAGCCATTATTAACCAGTATTAGCCATGACACCCAACATTAACCATTATCACCCAGTATTAACCAGTATCACCTATTATTAACAATTATCAACCATTATTAACCTTTATCAACCAATATCACCCATCATTACCCATGATTAACAATCATCAACCATTATTAATCATTATCACCCGTTATTCAGCATTATCACCCATGATTAACCATTCTCAACCATTATAAACCATTATCACCCATTAATCATCATTATTGGTTTATTAGCCATTATTTTAACCATTATTAACAAACACCGCACCCAAATAAATGACCTAGAAACATGAGCATGTTAGTAAAGCAATCAGAAACCAGCCATTATCAACCATGATTAGCCATTATATTAACTATTAACCATTATCAACCGTTGTTAACCATTAATAACCATGATTAGCAATGATCAACCTGATTAACCATTATTAGCCATTGACTAACCAATCAATTATTAACCATTAATCACCATTCATCATCATTATTACCCATCATATCAACCATTCCATGGCCCTGCAAAAAATGAAAATTCTTAGCTGGTGAACGTAGATAATCCCATACCATCCAAGACTAAAGGATTAGTTTTTACCCATCCAAGATTGATCTTGAAATTGGGGCACCCCAAAATAGATTCTTTATAATGGAAAATCCTATAAAAATTGATGATTCGGGGGTACCCCCATTTTACGAAACTTCCAAGATAGATTGACCCAGTTATTAGCCAAGTGCTTAAGGATCCAAGCCGCCGCCCCAGTAACGCCGTGCCGGGCCTTCTGTAGGACCACCCCGCCGTCGCCGTCGCGGTCCAGCTGCAGCTCCGCCAGGCGTTCGCGCGCCGTCAGGGCCAACGGTGCCACGGGGAGGAAGCTCAAGCTGCGAAACGAAGCATGGGAAATGGGTTAATAATGGGTAGCTAATAATAATGGGATATAATGATCATTTCAAATGACATTGGTTAATAATAATGGGAAATGGGCTAATCATGACATGGGTTAAAGGGTGGTTAATAATGGGATATATGATGATCGTTTAATATTGGAGATTGATTGGGATATATTGAATGGAAATTCAATGGGATATTGAATGGGACATTAGATGGGATAATGGGATATGAACTGGGATACTAAATGGGTGTTTTTAATGGAATTTCCAATGGGGTATTAGATGGGATAATGGGAGATTAACTGGGATTTTAAATGGGATATTGAATGGAATTTTCAATGGGGTACTGGATGGGATATTAGATTTGAGAGGTAAAGCTTACGCCAAAAGCGAAATTCAAGGAATATTTTCTTTTACGTTTTTTTAAAATGATTTTTGTATGACTTCACTTCAATGTTTTTTATGTTTTTTTTTTTATGGCCCCATTTTTGTTTTTTGATTCCACTACATTTTGCATACGGTTTTTTATGTTTGTTTATGATTTCATTTCATTTTTGATGTTTTAATGTGTTTTTCAAGATTGATTTTATGTCTTTAATGCTTGTTATTACATTTGTTTGGCATTTTTTGTGGTATTTTGTTGTATTTGTTTTGCATTCTGTGTAAACTTTAAATAAAATCTATTTAAAAAAATGAACATTCTACAAAAAGGTTACAAAAAGAAATGCCCGAAAAAATTGCAAAATAAACAACAAAAATGACAAAAAGTCTAGTTTTTGTTTGAAGGTTTTTGTATTCGTTGTATATGGCTTGTGTTTTTGTAAATGTTATATAAAAATTGTATGTTCCTTATGTTTTTACGATTTGTTTATGAAAGAAATATGGTGTTTTATGTTTTCTTGCATTTGTGATTTGCTGTTGATTTTTGAATGGTTTCTATTAATTTTCTTTTGTTTTCCCGCGGTTTTTCAACAATTTTATTTAAGTGGTATTTCACTTTGAAAACAAATGTTTCGAGAAAAAAACTCTTGAAAAAATGTATATTTCGATTGATTAATCTTTCAATCAAGCTAAATGAATTTATTTGAATTTTGAGTGAATTTGTATAAAGCTGAAATTAATTTCACATGAACTTCTGTTGGGTTTCAAAACAACATTAACTTGATGTTGGAATTGAGAGATCCGGATTAAATTTGAGAAAGCTTCTATATAAATAATTTTATTTAAATAGAATCTAACTGAAATTCAACTGGTATGAAAGGTTTTGAAATATATTATGTAGTTTGTGTGCACATATATCATATTTTTGAATCAAACATTGACATTGAAAGCATGTGGTGGTGAATATACATAATATTTGATATATAAATAATGTCGTGTCACTCCACTGGAAAAAATAAATGATATCTGATATGCTATGTCACTTCTGATGATGTGCGTTCTCAATGCATTTGCGAAGCTACATTTCAATGAACATGTTACGAGATATCGCAACAATGGTTACTGATTGGGGTTAACGTATGGGAGCATATTTCATTCATCGTCAGTAAGGTTACGATATCCATATATCAGTTATATTTTTCCCTGCACCTGGATGTGCATCCCAGCTAGTGACGCCGCTAGCCGCCGCTATCGGCTAGTGACAGTGACCAGTGAAAATGAATCAGCAACTGACTGGTCGGTGAAACACGAAGAAAAGTAAATCCAATTTCACCTTCGAGTCGAGATATTCTTTGGCTATTAGAAGAATGGAGCGACTTGGCATCGTCTAAGTCTTACTGGGATGGAAATGAAATGAAAACTTAGACCTGGACCTAGACCTAAACTTTACCAATGGGTATGCAAACTTACGTTTGGAAAGAATTGCAGAATTGTTCCTGCACAAACTGGCTTACAAATTTACCAAATGAAATAGCTTCTGTTTTGTATTTTCCAGCTTCAGGAAGTTTGGGCTTATGCTTGGGGTTCTCTTCGCAAAATAACTTTTCAAAAAATACGCCCGCACCCAAGGTTCCGAGGTGTTTGCATAGCCAATCGTGATGGAATACAAACATGATGGATTTAACCCCTGGTATATTTATTGGCAATGTTGACAGGGAAGCTGATCAACCATTTGAGATAGCAGATTTTACAAAATGACCAAATGCGTGGCAAAATTTGCTTGGGAAAATGGGGTTCAAGCCATTGGGTTGTAGGTCCTGCAATCATCAACAAGGATTTTGTTCGCATTTGGATCGGTTTCAAGCAAACAAGAGTAGGGTGTTCAGCCACAAATAATGGTTTGCCCAACACAAAAATGAGGAAAAAAACGGACGTCTCAGATCACTGTCTGGCATGAGAGAGGGCTCAAAACCGCTTAGCAAGGAACCCAAGAAAAAGATTATCTGGTGGTTTGAAACGATCACATGCAGGAAGAAACTTTAGCTTTTAGCAGTTTGAATATATGGTGTTTACCCATCCAATCCCAAAAAACGGAAACATATAATTGTGCATGGCTATAATCCATCCAGTTTAGCATCCGTCTGCTTGTCATAATGTCCAGTCAGTGGACATCATCAGTTGGTGGTTTCTGGTTTCCAGTCCCAAAAATCTCTTCCCGGTAAACCAAAATACAGTAACCATTGAAAATCACCATTGTTTTTTCTTAGGTAACCATTGTTCTTATGTAAATCCTTTATAAATGCGCCATGGATGGACTTTAGCTATTTCCCGGGGTGTTCAGGAATATCATCCCGGCTGTCTTGGCCTGGCATCGTTCACATCTGCCTGGCCACGGTCCAGAAATGGAGATGGCTTTTTCTTCGGTAGTTTCTCAAAATGGTGCTACTCCCAAATCACCATGGGTTAACCATGGTTAACCTATGCTAAGTCATGGTCATCCATGACGACTGGATGATGACTAGGGGTACACGGGTACATGACAAAACGGAAACCTCCTTTTTGATGGCGCGGCGATGAAGATTGATTCACCCGCAGAAACGCAGCAAAACTCACCAGTTGCCTCGCCGCCCATCACCAGCTCCTAGAACAGTTTCGATGCTTTGCATCGGGAAAGTGCTTGGGTTTACTCCCAAGAAAAATGAAGGGGGTGAACTGGTGAGAATGATGGTCTTACCAATGAAAACATGGCGACATAGTGAAAATGATTGTGTTTACCTATAAACACATGGTAAAAGTTGTTGCAACAGGTGAAAATGATGGCTTTACCAAAAGGATCCTTAAATTTTCAGGAGTGGAAGTAGGAACTGGCTGGCAAAAATGGGGTGCTTACGAGTCACCACCAAGATCATCAGGTTTAGTCTTGACCTTCTATTGACCTTCACGTTTCCACCTGACACAATGCCTTTAAAAGGGGGCGATTCCCCTCACAAAAACCGATCGTCGATGATGTCGTTGGGTTCTGGTTGATGTGAGATTCATCGATACCCAGAATAATGAATCCAAACTGTTGCCACTTTATTCCCCAATTCCTGTTGGTAAAAGCAGCATCTTGGTTTGAGGAATCAATCCCTTTGGTTGTTTGTTGATCCGAAATTGTAAGTCTTTTGGCCATCGTTGCTGTGCGAAAAGCCATCCAGCTTGTGTTTTGTGCTTTCGAACTTAAGAACCCCCCAGCACCCACTGATTCGTTGATGAAATGAATGAATGACCCACCGTTTCTTACCGTTCCAAAATTGCAAATGGTACGCCAAGCATGGCCTTGTCATGGTTCCCAAACTACATACAGCGCATTCGTGAAGTCAAAGCCGAGATGTGCAACAGAATGCTTCTGGCAAAGGGTTGCCGAAACCCACCCACATGCTGATTGAAATTTGAAACCAAGGCCGGCTAAACACCACAGCTTTTGACGGATGATTATCCAAGCATATCCAAACATTCTTTCACATGCTTATGGTGGGTTGAAGCACCATCCAGACAAAGGTTGGTCCCTAATACCAACTCAGGATTAGTAAACAACTGATTGCTTTACGGGGGTTCCATCTTGGTAGCAGATTGTCACTATTTGTCACTCTTGGAGGTTCCCTTCAACCAGCCCATTGGTTACTGGGCGACACAGGTCCAGGATCATCCCGCTGTCTCCTCCAGCTGATCTAAAACATCGAAGAGGGCTGTGGGATGAAGTTCATCGCTTCCAATCATCACCTTTCACGGCCATCCCAAGGCTTTCCCGGCTTAACCATGCTTAACCGGCATCCTAGATGGTCAGACCATATGAAAAGATTTCCTGGAAATGGATAGAAACGGATGATGGGAAAAGTTGCGGTTACCACTGTATGCTTAGGAGGGTATTAAAAGCCATGGTTTCCTGTAGACTCTATAGACTTTCCCTTCAATTTGATTGAACAGGCTGGAATATTTTGGGTGAATTGCCAAAAGTGGCTCTTGGGCCGGCCTTGGGCGAACCTTGCGCATATCTTGGGCAACCACAGTCCCGTTAGAGTTATTGTTTGCGCATGTTTTTTGTGCCCTGTATTCGCGCTCGTTTTTCTGCAGTCCTAATGTGTATACTAATAGTATGCGTGTCTTCTTATCAGAAACTACGCTTTCCTTTGTGTAAACCCATTTACACATTGAAGGTCCATGTGCATGTTTGTGTTTTTGACCGGGCGACATGGACAAGGGGTCAACTTTGGACTTGAAGCTTGCGCGAAGCTTGCGTGAAGTTTGCGCGGATTTCGGCTGAAAAATTATCTTTTTGGCAGGATTGTTACTTATACTTAGGGGACTTGAGCACAGGACCTGCATGAGACTGCCAGCGCGAGAAACAAAAATCAGATGCAGAATTGCCACGCAAGCATACAAGAGCATGTTGAAGAAACAATATGACATACCACTACACAATTTCCCTTGCGCAAAACCTTGGGCTGCGCGAGACTTGCGCGATGCAGGTTTTAAACTCTCCAGAAGTTCTCAACAAACTCGCTTACTAAATTTTAAGAAGGTTTTAGAACAACCCCCACATGGTTTGTCTTACCAAAATTAAGACGGAACTGGGCCATGAGTGCCAGCAGTAGGTGAACCATGTGTCCTTATGCCAAAATCCGGGACTGAATGATGATAAACCATCGGATTTTTAGTAGGTCCCAACATTTTAGGGTTTGTCTGAAATGTGGTACCCCAAAATCTGATGGTGAATCATCATATTCCCTGTTTGAATGGTTATTTGGAGGTATAGATAGAAATATCCCATTTCCAGACACATCCATTTCCACTGCCAATCTTAGTTAGATACCCTGCAAAAAAAAATAAATTCTTAGCTGGTTGGTAGATATTCCATTCAAGGATGACCTAGTTTCTGGGGTCCATCCACACCTCCAAACTCCGCAGCAACTGCTCAAAAGCCTCCTGCCCACTCACAGGGACTTGAAAATGCAGTTGGGGCTATCATAATTTAGGATGTAATATACTACTCAAATGAAGAAGGGATATAGGTTTTTTTCATTTTTTTTCGCAGAATGAGAATATTTAAACCAGACTTGAAGGGAAAATTCAGGGTTGAACCCTGGTTGGATTACGGGAGGCTTCCCTTGGGATAGTGAAGATCGCCACTGGACATTGCCCCACCACAAACCCTCATGACGGGGGTGAACTAAGCCACGATTGCACGATTCCTGGAATTTCCTGGATAGTTCACCACCAATGGACCAAGTAGTATGGCCTATCCAATTTGTGCACATTGACTTGCCAGATTCCAAAGATTCCTGGTACTTCCCTTGCTTCTGAAGCGAGACCGCAGCGTCCAAATCAAGCGGCACGGCCTCCAACATTGGCAGCCGAGACTTCAGGGTATGAGATCTTGAGACTAACCACTAACCCAACTAAATGGTAAGAATTGGTAAGATATATGCATATATATATACATATAAAGAGTTAACCACCGCATCTTTTTATAGTCGACTCCGCAGCAGTTTGTTAAAGACGAAAGAGACAAAACAATGTCTCTGTTCGCTTTACAATCAAATCAAAAAAGAAATAGTGCCTGGCCTGACCCACGGCACTATCAGGTAATCCACTTGGCGAGACGAGCCAAACCCTCCTACCCACCAAGCCTAGATTACCAAAACACAAAAAAGAAGGGGAGAGAAGAAAAGAGAAGCATCTCAGACCATTCTTGAGGCGCGCTTTGCGCATTTCGAAGGTCCAGTTCCGGACCTTTTCTTTGGTCTCTTTCCACAGCCCCCTGCACTTCCTGGTACAGGAGCCTCAAGCGAAACCAAAGTGAGACGAGTGCATTGTTTGTGCAAGATACAAAGGATGGGGGAGAGAGAGGGACGGGAGGGGGGGAGAGAAAGCTCAGCAAGGATGGACTGGCCTTCATTTAAATAGATCCTAGCAGTCCTGGCCGCTTGCCAACGACCCACAAGGGGTCTTTGATGAGGAACGCAAGCGAAATCTTCAGCAACCTACTTGACTGGCATCTATCTACTTATGTACTGACAGTGCCAGCTGGTCCAGAACATTGGGGGCGTGCGGCAAGGTCGCCAAGCTTCCCCATAAGGATCTATCTCCGTATCTATCTCTTCTCACCCATGAATGTCCATCTCCATACTCCCTTCATGTGCCGGCAACTGTGATATGCTGGACATAGGAGCCTAACCACTCTTGTGGCATGTGTATCCGAAAGCTCTCCCACTTCAGCTATCCCTAAAGCAGATGGACAGATGAATCAAACCCCAGGTGCATGATCTGTAAGTTACCCCCGAATTTCAATGTTACATGTCCGGCGGCCACCAACAAGAATTCATGGACAAGTAAAGCCAAGTAAATCCCAAGAACCCGGCTGTTTCGGCACTTTTATGTACCCACTATATTGGAATAATGAAGCATTTTGCGTATGATGATATATGTCATGTGAAATTCGCATATTTTTCCAGAGATCTAATGAATTCTACCAAATGTACCCACCACGCGTTACCAAAACGCCAAGCCAACTCGCCCAACTTCAGGTTGTTTGGACGAAACATCTAAGGTAGCATATTTGCTGGTTCATCCTTGAGTAGGTTATTTCACCGCAGTTATAAGGGGACTGACTAACCCTCCTTGTCCCACTGGGAAAGATGGCAATATTCAAAACGCATCTATGATATGGTTTGGAAACTCATAGTAAATCCTTGGCCGCCAATGAAAAATCGGGAATATGGATACCCTTAGCTCCGAACCGCTACCTCCATTCACCACTGGATACGTACTTGACCTACTTACTTCTCTGGATCATCTCCACCTGTGTGGCCTGACAACCAGAATTTGGGTCGACAAAACTCTACCTACGTTTGTCACTTAAGTCCCAACGGTTTTTATTTTAAACATATTATTTCATATTATGTTGATCACCGAAATTGAGTGAAATACAATCACTGACAAATTCTCATCATGATCCTTCAGATTTATGGGGTACTATCCGATTTTCGCTCACCCGAAATCCATGATTAAATCGTTTGTTTATTCCTGACTATTGATGACTGAATGCCCATGTTAGTTTGTTTGATCCAGAGTTAAAGATAAACCCATACCCGCATTGCTGGTTGTATCTTATCATGTATCCCCAAAAAATCGTTGGTTTATACCACCACTGTTGTTTGCTACACCCTCATGTTTTAAAACAATCCCATCCCAAATGTTTTCGTGGCAAATATTCAAAATTTTACACCAACATCCACAAGTTTAATGCAAAAAATGTACAATTTTGATGGATAGACAGATCCTAATTCTGATGCGAAAAGGTTCCCAGTGTTCATTCTTAAATCCCTATTTTGATTGTAAAAAAAAAAAATGTGCAATGGTTAAATCCTCATTTTAAGTCGAAAATCCGGCCCTTCCCCGCCGGCCCCCGCCTCGGGCGCTCGAGGTAAGCAGCTTCTTAGTTGCTGCTCCAAGCGCTGGAAACTCTGGAGATTTCCGGCCAGCACGGCCTGCAGCGTGGCGATGGGGGGATCAACTGCTGCGCATACCCAAAAAACGACTCTCTCTATTGTTGGGAAAAAAGAATATAATATATTTTAATCTAATATAATAAAGTATGATATAAAAAATATTGTAAAATAAAATAAAAATATTATGTAACATATCATAATATAATAGATCATAATATAATATATCATAACATTATATATTATAATATGATATATCATAATATTATATATAATAATATTTTATATGTCATAATAAAATATAATACTATACAATATAAAATATAATATGATATAATATACTATAATATAATATAATAAAATATAATATAATGTAATATAATATAATATTATATTATATAATATAATATTATATTATATTATATATAATATGACATGATATGATCTGATATGATATGATATGATACAGTATGATTTTGAACCAAAGATAAAATAATACAATATATCATGTAACATAACATGCTATATGTTACAACACAATAATAAATGATACAATAAACGGTTTACATGATACAAACAAATACAATATGATATTTGATATAGAAATATAATATATATATATAACAATATACAATATAAATTGATGTAATATAATACAAAATATTTTGAAACACTGTACTATTTCTATTACAAAATAATATAATGCAAAATAATATATCATATAATGTAATATACAACAACAACATATTCAATAATAAGATTTTTTAAAAAAAAAAACATAGTATTAAAAAATAATAATATAATATTTCAAAACAACATATAACTAAATATAAATCAATTTAATCTAATACAATATAATTGAAAATAATATAGTTTAATACTAAAATATAATATAGTTTATTTTAAAATAATATAATACAATTTAGTTCAATTTAATATAATATAGTTTAATTCAATATAAAATAATATGATTTAATATAATATAATAAATCTCATGATATGAAATAATAAAACATAATAATATGAAATTATAAAATATAACATAACATAATATCATACAATACAATACACTATACACAATACAATATAATACAATAATATGTAATTTAATATAATATAAATTAGGTTAACTGTAATATAATATAATAGAATAGAATATGCTATAATATAATATAATATAATATAGTATAATAAAATATAATATAATATAGTATAATATAATATAATATAATTTAATGTAATATAATATATTTCCCCGCCTGCCAGGTAAGGATCTCTAGATTTCATCAGAGGTGCTTCTCCTCCTTCTCCTTCTTCTCCTCCGGCAGCTTCGCATCTCAACTGCGAATGCTGGATCTCAGTGGGCACTGCCGGACCTCAAGTGCGAGCTCCGGATCTCAATGGGCACGGCCACACCGCAACCGCGAGCTCCAGATAGCACTGGGCACTGCCGGACCTCAAACGCAAGCTCCAGAGCTCAGTGGGCACTGCCGGACCGCAACCGCGAGCTCCAGATGTCAGCGCGCTGCCGGACCTCAACCGCGAGCTCCAGAGCTCAGCGAGCACTGCCAGCACTGCCGGACCTCAACTGCGAGCTCCACAGCTCAGCGGACACTGCCGCACTGCCGGACCTCAACCGGGGAGTACGGTGCATGTGACATGAAAAGGAAGAATATGGAGAAATATGAAGCCAGTTGCGGAGCGGCACACAGCTGGCTTCGAGGCCGGACAGAATTAGGCCGCAGGGCAAAGCAAGCGGTACGGCAAGCTGTGATGACTGCAAAGAAAAGCTCTAGATCTTGAAATCTTGAAAAAAAAAGGCTGCGTAAGTTCAGGTGCATGAATGTGAAGATAGGGATGTCTGTGTCTGTGTCATGTGAAATAAAATGTCGGTATCCAAACATCGTATGAGACATGAACTAAATAAGACATGCCAAGAGTGGAAACGTTGCTCTTGCAGAGGATGTCGGCTGAGGGCCGAGGATACGGACAGGATAGGCTTGGGGGCGGTCTTATACGTGGCATGGGGTGTGATGAGTGAGAAGAAGGAGAAATATGAAGCAAGTTGCGGAGCCACCGATAACTGGCTTCGGGGCTGGGAAGAAGAAAGGCGGTGGAAAAGCAACCGTTGTGTCACATCGCTGTAAGCACAGGGATCCGTATGTTTAAACAGGAGATCCTGCGTAAGCTCATGTGCTATAAGGCTACCACAGGGATGTGACCATTAGGGTGGGTGTATGCATGTCAGAATGATGTCGGTGAAGTAAGCGGTGTCTTCGATGCCTTTGGCTCAAAAGGAAAGCGATCTATATATTTGGAAAGGACAAAGATTTCCATGTACTCGTGAAGCCATGTTGGTGTATAGCGTACATGTATGCATGTATGTAGGATGTGGACAACAGGTCGCTATGTAGGCACGTAAGAGCTCTAGACTATTTCGAAGCCCTGCAGTTCGATCATGCTTGAACAGGAAAACTATACAGTATGTAGGTGCAAACCCAGCGCACACATCAACAAGATGTTGAAATCGTAGTCTCTTCAAAAAAGTCTGTACGTAGGGGTCCGGGAACGGGTATATGGTGCAAGGGAAATCTTGCTGCCGGCCTCATAGCGCGGTATGATGCAGGTGAGATGAAAGAAAGAAAGAAAGAAAGAAAGAAAGACGGAGAAATATGAAGCCAGCTGCGGAGCGGCACACAGGTCGCTTCGAGGCTGGGAAGAATTAGGCTGCAGGGCAAAGCAAGCAGTACGGCGAGCTGTGCTGACTGCAAAGAAAAGATCTAGATCTTGAAAAAAAAAGAAAGGCTGCGTCCGGCTGCGTAGGCTCAGGTGTATGAGCGTGAAGAAAACGATGTCCGCGTCACGGGAAATAGATATGTGTATCCAGATGATATATATCCATCCCTTATGTATGTATGTATGTATGTATGTATGTATGTATCTATGTATGAATGTATGCATGCATGCATGCATGTATGTATGTGTATGTAAATGCAAAGGCATGTGTAAAAGCAAATGTGAATATGTGCATCTGTGCATATGTGCATATGCAAATGCACATGCATATGTATATGTATGTATATGCATGTAAATGTATGTATATGTATGTATATGTATGTATTTGCATGTGTATATATGTATATGCATGTATATGTATGTATATGTATGTATATGTATGAATATGTATGTAAATGTGGTATATGTATCTATATGTATGTAAATGCACAAATATGTATGCGTATGTAAATGTATATGTGTATGTGTATGTATATGTGTACGTATATGTATCTATATGTAATATATATATATGTGTGTGTGTGTATGCGTATGTATGTATGTATATGCACATATGTATGTATGCATAGGTATGCGTATATGTATATGTATGCGTATATGCATATGTATATGAATATGCATGTGTATATGTTTATGTGTCTGTATGTGTACGTATATGTATGTATATGTATGTATATGCATGTATATGTATGTATATGTGGTATATGTGTGTATATGTATGTAAATGAATGTAAATGTATGTTGGTGTATGTAGATGTGTGTAAATCTGTAGTACGTATGTAGTATGTGGTATGTATGTAAATATATGTAAATGTATGTAAATGTGTGCAGTATGCATGAAGTATGTATGAAGCGTGTAGTATGTCTGCAGTTAGCCTGTGGCATGTCTGTAGTATGTATGTAGTATGTATGTAGTATGTATGTAATATGTAGTATGTCTGTAGTATGTATGCAGTATGTATGTAATATCTATGTACATGTATGTAAACGTATGTAGTATGTATGAAGTATGTAGTATGTCTGTAGTATGTCTGTAGTATGTCTGTAGGATGTATGTAGTATGTATGTAGTATGTATGTAGTATGTACGTAGTATGTATGTAGAATGCATGTCGAATGTATGTAGAATGTATGTAGTATGTATGTAGTGTGCATGTAGAATGTATGTAGTTTGTGGATGTGTGTAGAATGTGTAGTATGTATGTATGTAATATGTAGGTAGCATGTGTGTGTAGTATGTATGTAGTATGTATGCAGTATCTTTGTAAATGTATGCAAATGAATGTAAATGTATATATGTAATTGTATGTAAATGTAAAATGTATGTAAATGAATGTAAATGTATGTAAGTGTATGTGGATGTATGTAAAAATATAATTGCCCGCATCTCCGCGTACGGCTGCACCATTTTTTGCGCTCGACCCCTCGCCGGTGCGTGCAGAACGTCGGAGCTGCCGACAGCTTTCCGACAAAATTGGGGCAACGGCGACAAACCCCAACTCTCTGGGTTTTTTGGCAAGCTGTCTTCTGGCCACCTGCTGTGGAATGCAGCTACTGTACCCCAGCAGGTAGCGAAGGAAAGATAAAAACCGTGTTAGATCCAAGATTCCAAGCTTCTCTGCAAGAGTTGATGCCTTTGATCGCCCTGCACTAGCAAAGGCAGCTGCAAATACCAGATGTTTTTTTGACCCTCGAACCCAATGCTGGCGGATTTGTTTCTTCGTTTGGGGCTGTCTTGATCATCAGGAGCATCCACCCCGGCAGGACAAGCAGCACCCATGACCTCAACAGGATTGACCCTGCGCGCATCCTCTTCTACCTGGGAGCAGAAGGCACAACGCCGCTCTGCTACAGGCCAGTTGCGGTCACTGGGCCTTGCGCGTGTCTGACACCTTTGCCCTAACTGATCAACAAACGCGCACATCGCCATGGCGACAATAGCTGGCAATGAAAAGATGCGCCTAAATAGAAATACATGTATGTAGGTATGTGCATATATATATATATATATATATATATACACGTATATATGCATGCATGCATGCATGCATGCATGCATGCATGGATGGATGGATGGATGGATGGATGGATGGATGGATGGATGTAGCCTCAAAAGTCGAAACGAGAGCACGGACATTGGAATTAAGACATTTTTGCGCAGGTCAGGCTGATCGTTTTGCTGATCGGTGGGCTGGCAAACATGGAAATCATGCTCCTAAATGCTCCAGCTGCAATGAAGCGAGCCAC